GGTTGTCCTATGATTTCCGCAAGTGCGCGCGGGCTGGGGTGTAAGCCCTACAGGATGGGGCCCTCTGGGGTGAGGCCCTAAATTACCCATCGGTCGGACGAAGTAAGGCAGCAACACAAAGTAGGAGGGCGTTGAAAGCAGACCGGGTGTTCGCCCGCCCCCCAAAGAGGACGGAAAAGGTGAAGCCACTCGACCATGGAAGCAGGAAGGCGCTTACAAAGTAGATTGGAACATGGGAATCCAGAAATACCTAATTTCTTGACTACGGGAAATGACTGTTCTTGAACATCTAGACGGCCGATGGGACATGACTATTCTTGAATTTCCTTCCTGCATTGGGCAGGGACCGACCGTCCCGGCATTCCTATACGCCTACCACGAAATGTTCTTCTTAGAACCCAGAAATGCTCTAATAACAAAACAAAGTTCTTAGAACATGAACCCGATGTGACAAAACAAAACCATATCGGCCAGACATGTTCTGAGAACATTTCGTGGAACCACAAAAGGCTCTTAGAACATTCTTTGGTGGCACTATGGGCGAGCCAGACGCTTCGCCACTGCTTGACTGCAGAGGGGCATGCCCGACTCAACGCTGAAAAACCCTGCGCGAGCCCCGGCGCCGTTGTTCCGCCCTCGCCCGGCGGCCCCGGCGCGGCAGCCGGAGCCTCTCCGGCGTCTCGAGGGGGGTCTCGCCGCCCGGCCCCCCCCCCCCGCTGGGCGTGCAGGGCGGGCACCACGGGGGGGGGCCCCGCCGCTCGCGAGGAGGAGGAGGCGCTGGAGTCCCAGACATGCTCGCGCCGTTCCAGGCAACAACAGAATCGGGCCGGCGAGCGTTTCGCCGCCCTCGGCCCCATGGGGGCTCTCGCCGATCCCCTGCCAGAGGTCTGCGCCCAGACCCAATTTCGGCCTCGGGGGGCCCTCGCCCGGCCTCGGGACCATCCACAAGACGACTCAGGAGGAGAAGCTGGCCCTGGGGAAAAGGTCTGGACTTCCGGGGACGCCGTCAGGAAAAGATCAGAACGTCGCCTGCGTGGGGAGCAAGGTGCTCCAGAGGGGAGACCCCTGCGGTCCGAAGGCGAGGGGGGGACGCCAGGGAGTGGGCCAGCTCTGGGGTGGAAGCATCGAGCTGGAATCGGTGATGCATCGCCGACAGATCGGCGATGTGCGCCCCATCGCGGCTCCGCAAGTTCCTGGGCCTCGGGCCCGTGTCGGCGATTCACGGGCGATTACGGGGTCGATGCACTCCCCCTGAGCCTATCGCACTCTAACGTTGCCTCTTGGCTTTCGGGTCCTGACTCGGCTCTCCGGCGGCCGTTCGGGACGAAGCTTCTGCGGCTACTTGACGGCTCTTGCGAATCCACGCTGATCGACGCTAGTCTACGCTAATCGACGCAAAGTCTGCACTAATCAACGCTAATCGACTCGAATGACGCTAAACATCGGTCGACGCTAGTGCACCCTGAAGACTGCCTCACGAGGGTAAACAAAAAGGCTCCCATGATGTGCTACCGAACGAAGCCCTGCGGGGAAACTACCTCGGCTTCACGCAAGAGCGACCCTGTGCAAAAGTGGCCTTTGGCGCGCGGCTTTAGGGGGGCCGATGCGGAGGCCAAACCCAAGCATTCCAAGCGCGCCAGCCGGTACTGGTGGAACCCCTGTGCGCCCGCACGGAAGGTCACCCTGGCGGAAGGTCGCTCTTGCGCGTAGCCGACCGACGGCCGCGGACGAAAACCCCGCCCCAACCCCCCCCTGACCCTTGCACAGGGGAGCGAAAAATGACATAAACATAAAACCTCGGAGGTCCGCGCAGACTTCTCGGATCGGCGCTGGACCCCCCTCCCTGGCGCGCGGAGCGCGCAAACGGGCGGCGCCGGAGGCGCCGCTGGGGGGGGGTCCAGCGCAGATCCTAAAAATCCGCGCGGACCTCCGCGTTTTCGTGTTGGTGTCGTTCTTCGTTTCCCCGTTGCAGTGGCGCGCACGCGTCCTGCCGTGGGGAGTGCCGGCGCGTCCTGCGCCGCGTCGCCCGCGCCGACACGCCGCGGCTTCGACGCGGCTGCGGCACGCCGCGGCCTGGGCGCTCCGCGGGCGACCTCTGGAGAAGGGCACAGCTTGATGGGCCTGTCTTCCACCACCACCACTAGAAGTTGGAGGGGGGAGAGGTGGAGGATAAGGAGGAGGAGGAGGAGGAAGAAGAGGACCCCCTCCCCCTCCTACTTACGGTGGCGGCGGTGGAACGCAAGCCCACCACAACTGCATGAATATAGACTTTCGACGGCCCGCGCGGATTTATAGGATCTGCGCTGGACCCCCTGGCGGCGCCTCCGGCGCCGCTCCTGGAACGCTCCGCGCGCCAGGGAAGGTCCAGCGCAGATTCAAGAAATCCGCGCGGACCGTCGCAAGGCAGTGTGTACGCGATACTTTGTTCTCCTTCGAACCTCGCCACCGCCTCTGGGCGACGAGGCATGCCGCCGCCTCCGCGGCTTCGCCGCGGCGGTCGGCAAGCGTCGGCGGGCGCCCTGGCGCCGCGCGGATCCCCCCGCTGGGGGGTGTATCGAGGCGACGGCGAGTTCGACGACGATGGCGAGTGCCGAGGCGGGGGCGATGGGGGGCGTGGAGGATGAGGGGGAGCGAGAGAAGGACCATGAGATCCTTGCCTTGAAATTCCCCCAGTTTCGCGTGGTTTCGGGCTCCGGCACCCTCACAGGTCGGTCTGGCTCGGAAAATGAAGCAACAAAAACAAGGCCCGGGGCTCCTGTGGCGATTTTCTGCGATGCTGCAATGCTTCGGCAACGTGGGATCTGCAGGGAGGGTGGGCGAGGTGAGGGGCGAGAGGGAGACCTTGCACCGAGCGCTCCATGGAGCTCCAGGCGGAGGGCGAGGGGCCTCACCTGCCTGCCGTGCCGCGGCCTGGCTCCGAGCTCTGCGGCTCCTCGGCCCCCATGACTCGAGTCGGGTCTGCGGGGCCGGGCGGGGAGGGGGATCGACCTGTCCAGACCGGAGGCCCCACACGGAGCGCACGCCCAGCAGTCGGTGCGATCGCAGTGGCGTGCACCACGCCTGAGGAAAAAAGGCAGTCTGATTCCCGATCTGAAGCGGAGCAGAGCGGGAGGAAGACAACGACAACGGTAATGATAACAATACTGATCACAACGAAAGCGAGAACGATAAACGGTAATGATAACAACGATCAAGTATAACAACGAGCAATGCTCATTATCGGTATCGTTGATCGTTGGTCATTGATCGTTGATCGTTATCGTTGGGCAGCAGCAGCAGCGTCAATCGGATGGCAGGGAATCGACGGCCCCTCGATGACCCCTTTTGCAAGATGACTTCTGATGAGAAGTCCTGCAAGTAAGCTGGGACTCAAGGACTGCAGGCCACCGCGGGGAGAGTCCTGGGTGGCCTTCTCGAAACTGTCCAAGCCCACGTGCCGAACACCTTCCGAGGAGCCAGAGGGGGAGGGGGAGAACCAGTGTGAACCCAAGACGCATCAACGATATTGCAATAAACCCTCCCTCCACGTTTCCGCCAATTGCCCCATTGAAAAACAACCTTCTGGGACTCCTCGATCGGGCCAAAGCAAAATTCCTGGGACTTCAACGCCGCGAATCAACGCGACGTTTGCGTCCTGACAATCCGGAGTCGTTCCAGAACGCCATTCCTGGGACTTCATCACAGCGAACCAGCGCTACTCTATCGTCCTGGCATGTAAGAGACGGACCAGAATACCGTTCCTGGACTTGACGCCACTTTCGAAAACGGCTTGGAGGCCAATCGCAGTGACGTCACACGGGGATTTATACCAGACCTCGCCATCCCTGGGGGTCTGCGAACTGCGAAGCTGTCGCTATTTTCGAGGGCTGCTGTGGGGCCCTGCATAGCGATGCCCTGCTGGGATTCAGATTCGACCTTCCCTCGTCGTCGCCCTCTTCATTCTGCCACATCCCTGCGGGACTGCGATGCGTGACAGTTCCCATTTTCGAGGGCTGCTGCTGGCCCAGGAGGGGGAAGGAGGAGGAGGAGGAGGAGGAGGAGGAGGAGGAGGAGGAGGAGAAAGAGAAGTATGGAGGAAAAGGTCGATGCCCCCCCCTGTAGCTTTCACGACTGTGCAAGAAGGATGAGCAAGTCTTAGGTCGGGCATCTCCTCCTACAGGCAGATGTTGGACGAACAAACAAATAATGTAGACATGCCCAAAATTGTTAAACATGATAAAGAGATCGTCCCCTGTCTATCTTTTATATGTTTGACTATTTTTGAATTTTCCTCATGTAAAGGAACATGCCAAGGAACATGCCCGCCTTAAAGCAAGTCTGACCACCAGCATCATTCCCTTGTCCTCCTATCGGTGCCCGGCGCCCCCCGAGTCGTCCACCACTCGCGGGCATCCCACGCAGCCGCCAAGCAAGAGGGATGAATTCCCCCTACTGGTACAAGCCCCCCCCTCTCCAAGCTCAACCGAACTGCTCAGGCCGCCAGCTGAGCATTCCTCGGACTTGGGGACCGGGGAGGGCGGGGCGGGGGACAACTTCTCCCGCCCCGCAGCGGCTTTTGGGGCGGTCCCGTGGCGACGGGCCCCAGAGGCCGACGCCGAGGAAGCACGAGCCCGGACGGGGAAACGTCGTCTCGACGGCGACCTGGGAGGAGGGGGCCGACAGCCCCAAGGGCTTAGGCACGCGGCCACGGGCGGGGTTCGGGTTGGAGTGCCGTGTGGCACTGGCTCATGAACGGGGGAATCTCGCTGGGTCTGCCCCTTGTCTACCGAGAATATATATATATATATATATATATACATACATACATATATATACATATATATATATATATGTGTGCCCCGAATGTCTACCTACGTAGCGATACCCAGCGTGTCTGTATGTGAGACTCGGTCTTCGGCAATAGGACCCGCAGGCAGGCTTTGCCCTCCAGGGTCTGGGCGCAAGCGCGGCACGGAGCGCCTGCGCAACGGCGCCTCACTTGCCACTCCGCAGCGTCGCCTTCAGTTCCTCCGCGGCGCGGGGGGGCACGGGCGCCGGGGCCGAGGGCGAGAAAGGCCCGGTGGGCATCGGTTGCGGTGAGGGCGTTGGATTCGGAGCCACTGGATACTCCGGATGCTGTGATAAAAAGGGGGGAGGTCACAACCCTCCCAAACGGACAGTTGCAGACCCCCGCCCCCCAAGCCGGCCACAGGGCGGCCGGCCTCTCTTGTCCAGACACCCTAGGGACATCCAAGACAGTTCAAACAAGAGAAATCAGGCCACCCCCATTTTGCTGTGAGATCTGGAATGCGGAATCCATGGCCTGAGCTCCAATCGTGGATTGGCCACGGATACCACCTCCGCCCTCATGAGATAAGGAGCCCTCCAGGGTCTGGAGTATCCTGGGCACGCTCCTTGACGAACACCTTCCCTTTCACCCGTACCCCTCCCCAAAGGCATGGCCTCTGCCACCACCCGCCGGTGACACCTCCCAGATGGGGGTGCGTGCTGCTCCCTTCGGGCTCGTTTCTCTTTGGGTCCCCGCGCGAGGACCCCGCACAGGGTGCAGCGACGACGGCTCGGGGGGCAGCCCGCCGCCTCCGACCCTGACCACGCCGCTCACGACGCAAAGCCTCGACCTCGGCCCCGAGGGCTGCCGCGCCTCTTCGGCTGAGCTGCTCGACCCGCTCCACATCCGCGGCTGCGTATCCTCAGCCAGAGGAGCCTCACGCAGGTCTTCCTGCCCAGTGATACGAGCGGATCTAGGACAGAAGAGCATCGCTCAAGAACATGAGGCCCTCCGCCGGCCAAAACACACAAGGCCATCCGAGGGTACCCTCCCCAGGATGCACGAGAACATCCAACAACATCGGAGAACAGTTGGGTACCCTCCCCGAACCGACTTCGATCCTAAACCTCGGGGGGGGGGAAAGGAGGATTGGGGGGGAGGAGAGGCGAGGAGGCATGGGGAAGAGAAAAGCGGTGCGGGATGAGGGAAAGAGGGGTGCAGGGTGAGGGAAAGGGAGGTCGTGGGAGTGCAAGGAAGGGGCGTGGGGAAGGACATGACTACTGCAAGGAGGAGGACAAACGAGGGGTGGGAAGAGGGGGAAACAAGGATACAGGAGCGGGGTGAATCAAACTTCCTGCGGATCGACCCATGCGCCTATTGTCAAAACGTGACTTCACAACAAACGGCATATCTCCGCTGATGGGCGCTACGTGGCAATGACGTGAATACCGCTAACATCGCCTTTGATATTTCGAGCGCGCCTGGGTAACCAGCCGGGACGCGCCCGTCACACAAGACAACTTGATGGATATAGCACATAGCATGCCCTTGATTTTTCTCACCATGCTCATGATGATACGCTTCTAGAATGCGATTCGGCGGTCGAACACCCCAGATTCCTTGAACACTCTACTGCAACATGAAATTCAAGTGTTGGCGTGACGCGAACGATGAGCTTTCATCAAGCGCGCCTGCCCCGCTGCATGTGTGCAACGAGCTCAACCACTCACGTATAAGAACAATTGCCTCGTTCGCCCAACTCCACCAGAGACGTCTGTGGTGGACTTTCTGCCGCGCAGGTGCTTTCTAACGCTGGCAGGTGATTGGGGAGCATTCCTACCCCCATCCCTCCTGCGCCTCATTCCTCCTCCTCTGGGCAAGCTCCAGGTCCTCGATCTCCTTGTCTTTCCTGGCCAGTTCGGACTGGAATGTGGAGATCAGCTGGTCCTGCAGGAACTGGTGGCCTCCTCCTCCTCATCCTCCTCCTCCTTCGTTTTTCTCCGTGCTTCCCCTCCCCCACCTCCTACATCGCCCTCCTCATCCAGCATCTCCCTCCCTCCGCCCTTCACTCCCTCCCCCGTCCTCCTGTTCCTCAGTCCCTCCTCTCGCGAAGGGGTCCGCGGTCTCATGCTGCCCATTTTGTCACCCGTCCTGTTCTCAGTCAGTTGCGATGAAGGCCCATGTGCACGACGGGAAAGTGTTGCAGGGCGCGGGCTGGTCCAGTACACCCCTATGACAGCCCTGCTCCTGCAGTCCCCCGCCTCTTCTCCTGTACGACCGGTGCACAATCTGCGCTGCCGCGCCCTGGCTGCCGCTGCCCGGCGCTTCGTGCGCCACGGCGCTGGTGACCAGCATGTTTCCCCAGCTCCGGCCTGCGGGGGTTCGTGTTCGGGCCCCGGGACAATCATCCTCCCCTGGGGAGTGGGTCGGGACCGCTGAAGCCCACGGGCTGAGATACCTCAAGGCATGCAGCATGGAATTGGCATTCCCCGCCACAGTGTCCCAGCACAGCACCGCGGGCCACGTCCATGGGCCGCATACGGCGGTAGAAGCGGCTATTTTGGATAGTGGGAACCCCCGTGGTGGTAGTGACGGTTGTGAAAACGGCGGTGGCGATGGCAAAGGCGATGATGACGAGCTTGACGTCTTTGGTGCCAGTGTGGACGAATCTGGCGGAGATAGTGATGATGGTAACGGTGATGATGAAGATGCTGGTGATGCTGATGCAGATGGTGATCAATTACAGCCGAGGCCAGTCCACAAAAAAACCTGGCACAAGAAACCCAACCCTGAGACCCCAGGACGTCCATCGATCTTCGGTGTGGAAGCGTCACGCTTTCCGTAGGACCATCGAAACCCAAGAAATCCAGGGCACACTGGAGGCAAGCAGGGTGTTTCTTGGCATGGGCTCCCACTGTAGCCGATCTGGACTGACAGAGCTCCTCAATGCCCCCAAGTGTCCCAGGAGGGCCTCCACCTGGCCACAGCAGGCCTCATACGGGTCCCAAGACACACCCTGGGTGGGGGGGTCTCAGATGGCCACAGACAAGATGGCACGAGACCGCCCCAACACGCTCCAGGAGGGCTTCCAGACAGGTGGCAACAGAGCTCAACGGGGTCCACAGAGCCTGGCTATGGTCAGAATGCCTGCCCCGAAAGCCCAAGTGAGGGCCTCCAACCTACCTCTCCTCTTCATCCTCCCCCTCCTCCCTCCTTCTTTCCGCTCGGCCTCCCACTCTTCCTCATTCTCTACGTCCTCCTCCTCCTCCTCCTCGTTCTCTCCATGGGCAGCTGGTGCTCGCCCACATGGACCTCTTAGCAGGCAGCGCGAGGAACCGATCGACACATGCCATTGAAAGCAGTCTGCTTGTGCCAGGTCACTGAGATGGCTGTTCGATCCATGCCATCAAGGGGCCGATCGACCCGTGCATGAAGATTCTGTCCGCTCCCCCCTCCTTCTCTCTCCCTTCCATCGTCGTAAGTCTGCCCCTCCCCCTCGTCTCTGATACCCCTTCACGCGGCGGGAGGGATGAAGGGAGGAAGGAGAGGGGCGACGGACAGAACAGGAGGGGAGGGGGAAGGGGGGGAGGGGGAGTGGGGAAAGGAAGGAAGAGGAGGGAAGGGCGGGGGAACATGAAGAGCACATAGATAGGGCAAGCATGCGAAAGAAAAACATATGGACAAGTGCGATCCCGCGATATCTGACTCCCTATCCCTCCTTCCCATCCATTCCCATTGCGTTGACCCCCTCTGTGTTCGCAGAGTCGGGGGTCGGGACAAGCCTTGATCGCGATGAGGCGAACCAGTGGAAGAAGATCTTCGCCGAGGGAGCCAACAGCTTGGAGGTCATGAGGGGGCGGAGTGGGGGGAGGGGACGAAGATGTGGTTCTCTGGTTGGACAGCTGCGGCGACATCACCCACCAGCGAGAACACCGCTTTTCAGAGGCAGCATACGTTGGCAAGCACGAGAGCAACCACTACTGCCACCAATGCGGCGACAGCGTCGTTCCGTTATTCGGAAGCCCCCCCCAGCGAGAGCACCACTCTTCAAAGGCAGGGAGCCTTGTGATTTAACCAGCTATATAGAAGGGCAGCTAGGACCCGTGGCTGTGTGCAAACACACCGTGCGCGAGATAGCCCTCCCAAACGGGCATGACACCAGGGCAGGGAGGAACGCACCTGGTGCTCATTCTGTGCAGTTGCGGAGCCTGGGCAGGGGAGGGCGCGAAGGGCATCCACTTTAGCAGCCCTGGCAAGCATCACGCAACACGTGGCGTGTTATTACGGAGCTCAGCACGCAGACTGAAGTCGTAACGTAGGTCAGACGCTATACAGTCAACCCGTGTAGTAAGGATGCGCGGTAAGGATACACGGGCCTGGAAGTTCATTTCAAAGCTTTTCGAGAGGGGCGCGGCCAACGAAAGTGGCCAAGGGTGGGCCGAGGAGGTAAGGATGCAAGGGTACCCTTGGGAATGTTGCCCATCCTTACTGTGCGGGTTGACTGTATTGACGAGGACGTTTTGAGAACCGCACGTGTTGCGTATCAAAACGGGCGTATCGTGGCAGCGAAGGAGGGGCATCCACGAAGCGGGGGGCCCGCCAGTGCAGAACGGCTCGCCTGGCGCCCTCGCGGCGGCGGGGGAACGCGAAGGCCGTCCACGAGGGGGGGGGGACGCGAAGGCCATCCACGAGGAGGGGGCGCGAAGGGCATCCACGAGGGAGGGGGGACGCGAAGGGCATCCACGAGGGGGGCCCCGCCAATGAAGAACGGCTCACCTGGCACCCTCGCGGCGGCGGGGGGAGAAGGCGGCCGCGACCTCCCCGCCGCCGCGCCTTCCGCCCCGGGGCGCCCCGCCGCCCGTCCTGCGGCATCTTCATCATGTCGCCTGGCTCCCGGGGGGCGGAGGGGGCAGGCGGGGGAGGGCAGGGGGAGGGCAGGGAGGGAGGGGGAGAAGGAGGAGGAGGAGGAGCAGGAGGAGGAGGGGGCAGAGGAGGAGGAGGAGGAGCAGGAGGAGGAGGAGCAGACGGAGGAGGAGGAGGTTGGAGCGTCATCGGGTGGAGACGGCATGTCGTCTTCATCGCCGCCGCTGCCATTATCGACGAGTGCCGCCGAGGGGCAACCGCTGTCCCCACTGTCCCCACTGTCCCCACCACCGTCCTCACTGTACCACTGTCCCACCACCGTACTCACCACCGCCCTCACCACTGTCCCCACCACCTCGTCCCCACCACTGCCCCACTGTCCTCACTGTCCCCGCCACTGCCCGACTGTCCCCACACCACTGTCACCACCACCACCGTCCCCACCACTGTCCCCCTGTTTCCAACACTGTCCCAGTGTCCCCACTGTTCCCACCACTGTCCCCACTGTCCCCACCAGTGCCCCCACCAGTGTCTCACTGTCCCCACTGTCCCCACCACTGTCCCCACCACGGTCCGACTCTCTACATTTTCCCCGCTGTCCCCACCACTGTCCCACTATCCCCACTGTCCCCACCACTGTCCCCACCACTGTCCCACTGTCCCCACTGTTCCCGCCGCTGTTCCACTGCGATGTCCCACTGTCCCCACTGTCCCCGCCACTGCCCCACTGTCCCCACCACTCTCCCCACTGTACCACTGTCCCGTTGTCCCACCGTCCTCACCACCGCCCTCACCACTGTCCCCACCACTACCGTCCCCACCACTGCCCCCACTGTCCACACCACTCTCCCACTGTCCCCTCACCACTGTCCCAACCACCACCGTCCCCACCACTGTCCCACTGTCCCCACTGTCCCCACCACTGTCCCACTGTCCCCGCACCACTGTCTCCACCACCACCGTCCCCACCACTGTCCCAGTGTCTCCACCACTGTCCCACTGCCCCGAGGAGCGGGAATTTGTTGTGCCAGCGGCGAAGGGGGGGGGGGCGGGGGTCGAACCCGTAACGACGCCCCCCTTTCAATGCTGGACTGGGGGGCGGGGGAGAAGGGGGGGTTCGGACCGGTAGTGACCCCGCCCTGGTTTTCGAGGGGGGGGGCGGATTGGGAACCTCCAGTGACCCCCAACGGTTTTCCGACAGCAGCGGTAGAACACGATCTTTCCAACATTTCGTGCCATCGAAAGCTATGGCGGCCCATCAATGGCCCCCATTGCTTGTTGTATGAGCCTGGGGCACGCGCGTATGGCTTGTACGCCCATGCGCGTGTAACACATCTATATACACAATGAAACACAACTTACTATTTACCCTCATCACCTCTACCTCCTTTCCATCTCTTTCTGCTCCTTGATGTTTTCATAGCCCTCCAACTTCGTGTCGGCCAGTGTGCCATGTGTGAATGCTCTTCGGACGTTCAGCGCGCATCGTGCATCGATCGGGGGGGGCGGAGCGGGAGAATGGACGAGCAATGAGGGGGGAGGGGGAACTCCGGATTTTTCTGGAGAAGCTCCCTGAGTCCTCCTCCTCAGGGGGAGCAACACTTTAATTTGGGGACCGGTCCGCCATCCCCATGAAGAAAGGGAGGGCCCAGAATTCCGTCGTCAACACTTGTTCGTGGCGCGGGCCCCCTTGGAGCTATCGCCCCCTTCCCTGGGGGCCCGCGCTTCACCCTTGGCCGTTTCTGGAAACCCTAGGCCCCAGAGCCCCGAAATTACGAGGATCGCGCGCCGCAGACAGGAAACAACAAGCAACATGGCGCCGTTTCGAATTTTCGTGGCGGCGGATGTCAGGGCGAAGCGAAGCCTCTGACTCGAAGGTCACCCTCGCTACAAGGCATCAGTGCTCGAGCAAAAATGGCAACAGGTGAGGCAAGGAGAAAAAGAGGTAAGGCACCCGTTGTCGGTCAGCAGCGGACGCCAACACGTTCGGAAAGCCTGCGGGCAGCGCTGGGCTGAGATCGCACCGTGCGCGACGGGGGAATAGGAGGGCGGCCGCGGCGGCGGAGTGCGGGGGGATGCCTCAAGCGTAGGGAACCTTCGCCACGAGGTGCGCGCAGGCGGCCGCGCACACCGGCAACCAGCGCACCGGAAGCTGAGCGGCCAGAGAGTGAATAAATTACGGTACACACACCCACACCATGATTTCCTCGAGGTCCGCGCAGCTTTCTCGGATCGGGGCTGGACCCCCTCCCTGGCGCGCTCCGCGCGCCAGGGGCGGCGGCGTGGGCGCCGCCAGGGGGGGCCCTGCGCAGATCCACGGAGAAATCCGCACGGACCTCCTAGAGTTCATGTCTATGCCGATATTTTGCGGTTGGGCATGTCCCCCTACAGGCAAATTCTGGGCGAACCCAAAAAACGTTCAAACAAAACCAAGGAACAATCAAAAAATGATAGAGAAAGTGTCCCCCGACTATTTTTTACTATGTTTGAATATTCCCCCTGTAGAGGGGCATGTCCGCCCCTTTAACGCTGTGTGCTCTCCTCTCCGAGCGCAAGAGGGGGGTGAGCAGGGCGCTCGCGCGCGCGCGCGACCAGCCGCGCCCGCGGCGGGCGTTTCTGGGCCAGCGGGGCGCTGGTGCGCAGGGACCTCAGCAGCGGCGCGGACACCGGCTCGGGCTCCTGGGCGGCGCTTGGCGCGCCCCGCGCCCACCCCGCTCCTCCTCGCCCCGCCTCTGCCGATGGGGCTTTCGAGTGGACCAGAACTCGTGGGGCTTTCGAGTGGACCCCGTCTATCCCAGGCCTCGTGGGGCTTTCGAGTGGACCATAACTTTGGGGCCCAACCCTGGTATACACGGTGGGGTAGCGTCCATCCTCGAAACGGGTGCGGCCGGATCGCCCCCTTTGGGGTGTATCCCAGGGTGTCCATCCTTTTCTGAGCGGCTCCACTTCTCGTCGAATAGTCGGGGGGCGGGGGAGAACAATCGCCTGCGAGATGCGCCTCAGGACGAGTGTTAGCGCCAACGCGGTCTCTTCAGAGGTGCGTGCGGGTGTCTCGGATCGGCGCTGGAGCCCCCCGGGCGGCGCCGCCCCTGGCCCGCGCCACGCGCCAGGGAGGGGGGCCCAGCGCCGATCCGACGAAATCCGCGCAGACTACGACAATGCATGTCGATACCATCATTTGTTCCCCGAGTGTCCGCCGAAACCCTGCACTACGACGCAGGCGGTGCGAGGAGGGTCGCGGCAGGGTGAGCCCTATATCGGAGGAGCTGAGCGGGCAAGCGCATATTTTGCTAACGCAGGTTCTAAAAGAACATTGGCCCCGCTCCCCCTCGTGAAGAGGCGCGCGGGGAATCGATGTTCGACGGCGTCGGCGATCGGAGATGCGACGGGGGGGGGTCTCGAGGGGTCGTTTCTCCTCCGGTTCCTGCGCTCCCCCTTCCAAGCCTGCTCCCCCACCTCCTCCAGCCCATCCTCCTTCATCGTCCCCCCCACCCCACGCGTCTTTCTCCTCCTGCTCCTTCTCCCAACCTTCCTCTGCCCCCTGCTCCTCTTCTTCCACGCCGTCCTCGTCCTCCTCCTCCTCCAGTCCCCGCTGCCCTTGTTGCCAAAAATGTGTTCTCCGATCCGCGTTCACCGGAGCGGTGTTCCTCCTGACTGCTCTGCTCTTCCACCTGCCCCTCCTCCTCCTCCTCCACCCTCTCTACCCGTTCTGTCTCTGTTGTTCCTCGTCTTCTTCCTGCTCCGTGCTCTTCTCATCGCCCTTCCCACTCTCCCTCCTCATCCTGCTGCTGCCACAGCTCTATCTACTTGCTCCTCCTGCGGATGATCCCCGCCCATCCCAACTTTTTTTGTCAGGATTCTCATCGTCATCCTGCCACCTGCTCGTCGTCTTCCCACCTTCGCTTTCTCCTCCCCCTCCTCCTCCGCCTCCGCCTCCTCCCCCTCGCAGAGCTGCCAAACTTCTTCATGCAGCACATCAGCCTGCTGAAGGCGCCAAAGCGCGCCCGTCAAATCACACACACACATATGTTTGGAAAACAACCAGAAACACTAGTGGCAGGGGGGTGCCACTGCTGCGTCTCAAGGTGAACGATATGCTACGATTGCCAACTTTGCGCCACAACCCGAATACCCCAACATAGGAAACCCCAGTGCGCCACCCAGTTGCGCAGCAGGTATGACTCAAACGCGTTCAGCGGAACGTCGCAATATCGAAGGCCTCCGTCGCGACACAGACGGATGTTGCACCCACCCCGCACTGCATTTCGCAACCTGTCGGTGTCGGCGTTCCCTCACTGGCATGCGGAGTTAATCGTATAACTTGCCAGGCGGTCTGCTTGCACATTGTGCTTGCAAAGGGCACCATCCCGCGAGATCTATCAAACGCGTCAGTGGGCGACAACAACTCCCAAGCATAGCTGCCAAAGCGCGCGCCATGCGCGTGAAGACAGACTATCGTTCTTCAAACATTCGAGCAATCGTGCCGTTCAGTAGAGTTGACACGACTTCGCAGCCCACGGCTGTGCTTAAACAGCGATCGTCGTGGTTCCATTGCTGGTCTGCTTCGTGTGCAACCATCGCAAGATCAGGTCTCACGGTCTCGTGGCCGTGCACAGTGGCGTCATCGAGCTGGATGGGGCACCCTCTCGGCGGCGCCTCGTATATCGGGCAGAGGCCACAACTGGCAAACGCAACCGACGAAATGCGATTACTCCTGTTTCCACCGACCCCCGTCGAAGCTCGCATTGTGCGATCTCCAATTTGAGCAGTACACGGCAAGCCAACATCTTCCCAAACAGCACGGTGGCCGAGACCGCTGAGGCAGTTCGCAGAACCCCTCCTGGATTCTTCCTCAAGAAGGTGTTTGGGAGGTTTGTCCCAGGCTCCTGGGGGAGTATGAAGGTTGTTTGGAAAGTGTTTCAACAACACAAACTTGCCAACAACCTTACAAAACCTGCAAACAACCTTAGAAAAAAAACATTGACCAGAGGATATATGAACATGATGCACCCGGCGACGGGACCGCTCGCCAAAAAATTTTACACAAACTGCCACTCGAGCGCACTTCGACATGCACTCGCCAGCGTCAGCGGCATCGTAAGACTCTGCAGTCAAACTCCCGCCAACTACGTAAGAACCCCATTCCAAGAATCTGGGAATTCATAGAGTGTGAACCAATAAAACAAAACCACCTGTGAATCTCGAAGGCGCTTCGCATGCTGAACCTCCCTTGCCCCTCAATTGGCGCAGGCCGGAAACGAAACGCCTTGCGCGAATGCTGGAGCTCCCAAATTCGCAACCGGTGCTGAAGACCGCCCGTGAGGTGCCACGCCATACCACCGCAGACAGAAGCAGAAGATGCTTGCGGTGTCGAGGCCCATCTTTGCAACCGCTCCTGGATGCCACCCCGACCTTGCAAAACACATGTGTTTGTGGTATGCCGCGCCACCGAGCCCCAGGCGGTGCCCGACGCCGCGCTCGGTGAAGTTGCAGTTGTCGATAAGAACGCCCAGGCACTCCTGCTGAACCACGTGCTTGGACTAGAGGCCAAAAAATCCACACCCATATAACCACCCCGACACGCGAAGTCGTTTAGTAAACGCGCCCACAGAAGGAATCGAACGCGGCAGGGCTGTTTAGTAAACGCCCACGGCCGTTTAGTAAACGCCACTTGTCCGGTCCGGGTAGTTTTCCCTCCCTCGATGTATGATGAGGGGGTGGGGACAGCATGGCATGGTCAGAGTGAACGCGGACCGCGGGCCGAACCAGCAGCCATTGCCAGCAGAGAAGACAACTCCCAGGCCAGCTGTGCATCTGAAAGAGAGAGGACTGCCCCGGACACCGTGCTCTGCGTTGGGGCGGGTCAGAAGGAAAATCTGCCCACATAGCATGGTGAATGACGTTGCCGCATACATGACGCCCCTACCCCGCTTGTCCTACTTGGCCACGACCAGTTCCATCGCGCATTCCACCATCGCAGTCCAGCAATCTGGGGCATCTACATCTCCCCTTGTTCCGCCTCGTTCGTAATCGAAACGATCTGCACCCAGAGCCCCATGGGATCATAAGCCTGCCTCTCTCCGCGTGAAGCCCTTGCAATACCAATTCCACCACTCTGGGAGACACGCCCATGTGGAACACAGAATTTGCCAACACGTTGTAACCTAGGCAGTCGAGTGCGACTCACGTCCTGAATGTCTATCAACAGTGTGGTAGCCCACGAATGTGCATTGAAAATCATTTCCTGCATGAGAGCCATGATGCCGCGTATTCGGAAGCCTCGCTTGAAACTGAATGTCTGGACGACCGTTGCACGCTCCTGCTCCGCATTTGCACATTCCTCTTCACGCTCTTGATCACCATGTTCCTGGTCTACATCGCCATCATCATGAGACTCCCCATCGTAATGAAATGCCTCCTGCTCATCAGCGTGACCACGACCATCGATTGTTCTGTCTTGCTCCTTCTCAATGTTCTGCTCCTACTGTCGCTGCTCATCAACATCCAGATGTACCTGTTTACCCCAGGCGACCATAGAGATCGCCGTCAAAGTCTGATCGGGATGGTCGCTCCGCCTGGAGTCTGCGATAAACACTTGTGTGCAAACCTGAAGCTCGGATCATTGGTCCATGCTTTGCGGTCGGCCCTGTTGCACTCGGGCAAGCAACCGCTAACTACCCCCTCAGATCATATTAGCCATGCCCTAGCAAACGCAGCTGCGGTCGCGACACTATTACTTCAATCCGCGTTGGGAGTAGAGACTGGGGCGGTAAAGATGTGGTTTGCACCAGGCATGTATCTAGAAACTACAATAGCGAGTATACTGTTCAGCTCAAACCAAGTAGTAATGAACATGAGGCCAGCAGTTATAATAACCCGCCATGGCCCATGGCGCTAGCAGCGGTGGATTTGCGTCGGGCCTTCGATGCCTTGTGAGTCTGGCAAGCTGCGAAGCAATCGTGGCCCCTCCCCCCTGACGAACCGAGTCCAACATGCGTTCATTTGCGTCGGTATCGCTTTGCACGTCGAGTTGAATGTCGATGCGTTACGTATTCTCGATGGCTTGAACGTGGACCCTGGAATGAGAGGTCTTCCCGTAGTTTCGCACTTGCTCGTTCGACGCTCGAGGACGTCCCCTGGCCACGAGCGGCCAGAGAGCGCCGCCTGGTGCACGGTTGTCACTTCGGTCCACTTCGCCATGCTGTTCCTTCTCCGCCTGTGCCCCGAGTGATCGCCCCTCCCCCCCGTGGGCACACGGGCTCGGCTGAATACGGAGGGTTATGTTGCTCCCACCCATCGTATTCAAGGACCACATCTCGGAAATAATTTCGAGCACCCAGAAAAGTATCGAAATTCTGTCGGACGAGTATCGCCTCTCAAAGCCCGACACATGAGAACCCTTCAGTTTCGGTACTTTCTTGGTGCTCGAAATTCTTTCTGGCGGTCGAGGCTAGAGTAGGTTGGAACCTCTGGTCGGGCATGTCCTCCTACAGGCGGATCTTGGAAGAAAGATGAAGAGTCAAAACATATTCAATAAGAGTCAAGACATGTTCGAAATAATCGTGCCCAGACTATTTTCTGACTATTTTTGGATATTCCTCCTATAGAGTGACATGCCCGATTTAAGTTTATGCAGATGTCCCCCCTTCGGTGAAAACCAGGCCCGCCGTAGCGCCCCCCCTACCTTGGAGGCGGCTGGGGGGGATGCTCCGGATAGGCAGCAGCAAAACCAGCCAGGAGGGGAAGGGGTGGCAAATTCCCATCTGGGCGACGATCAAAAACGGGTCTTACGCAGGATGTCGTAGCGACCTTACGCCGCAGCTTACACGGGCCGCCGGCGCGGCACGCTACTTTGGAAACAGAAGGCGCTCACGCGCGACCTGACGCGGAAAGCTTACGCGCCAATGTCAGCGCAGACGACCCCATTTTTGTTTGCGTCGCTCGTATGGCGCCTTCTCGTTTGTTCTGTCACCTCCGATTGGTCTCCAACTGCCTCCGGCACCGGGGGCAACCTCAGCAACAGCTCTGTCAATTCAGCGTTCAAGCGTGGTGCACTTACACCTGGGTCACCTCAAGTCAGGGCATCTCGGCGCCAGGGATTCCGAGGATGTCTTAGGCGAAACGTGCCTGAGCACATCGCGGACCACGTCTCGGAACCAAGAGTTGTGAGAAGGTCTCAAGTGAAACGGGCCAGACCACCTCAATTCAGGGCACCTCGCAGAAGTCCGGTGTTCGCAGGATGTCTCAGGCGAAACGGACCAGAGTACCTCGCGAACCACATCTCGGAACCCAGGGATGTCTCAGGCGGAGCTGGCCAGAGCACCTCGCGAGGCGCATCCTTGGACACCAGAGGTGTGAGCTGCGAGGACGTCTGCTCCCAGCAGGCCACAGAGACTCTCAGGTCGAAGCACCTCGGAGCCTGGGTCCCGAGGGTGTCTCAAGCGAGCCGGGCCTGAGCTCCTCGCGAAGCGCATCTTCAAACCATGATTGCAAGGACGTGCCAGGCCAAACGGACAGAGCCAGGGATTTCGAGGATGTCTCAGGTGAGACGTGCCTGGGTGTCTCGCGAACCGCATCTTGCAATCAAGAGTTGCGAGAACGTCGCAAACGAAACGGGCCCGAGCACCTCGATTCAGGGCACCTCGAAGCCTGAGATTCCGAGGATGTCTCGGGCGAACAACGTAATGAGGATATCTTGGGTGAAACGGGACTGAGCATGTCAAGTCAGGGCATCTCGGAACCGAGGGTCCCGAGGACGTCTCAAGCGAAACGGGCCTGAGCACATCGTGAACCGCATCTTCAACCCAGAGTTGCGAGGACGGGTCAGGCCAGACGGTCAGAGCCAGGGATTTCGAGGATGTCTCAGGCGAAACGTGCCAAAGTACCTCGCGAACCACATCTTGGAACCAAGAGTTGTGAGAAGGTCTCAAGCGGAGAGCACCTCAATTCAGGGCATCTCGAAGCCTGGGGTTCCGAGGATGTCTCAGGCAAAACGGGCCTGAGTACCTCGCGAACCACATCTCGGAATCCAGAGTTGCGAAGACGTCGCAAGCGAAACGAGCCAGAGCACATCAAGTCAAGGCATTTCGGAGCCCGATTCCGAGGATGGCTCTCTGTGGGCCATGGAGCGCACCCAGCTCTTTTGAGGGCAACCCCTCCCCAACACCTCCCCTGAACCGCCGTCGGAGCTGTCCCGGGCGACCCGGGCACCTGGGCTCAGGTGCACTGTCCCCCCGCCAGCCAAGGGAAGCCCTGGATGGGGCAAAAACCAACCCCAAAAGCCAACCGGGGTGGCCAGCGAGGACCATACAGCTCCGAAACGCACCTCCACCCCATAAAACAAACGGACCGTTCGAGACATCACCACGATGTGGGCACGAACGGGCCCGTGACACACGCTTCGTCGGTAGAGCACCAACCCGCATCACCAGGCACGGTCGAGCCGCGTCAAGCTCTGGCGACGAGAAGTGCCCCGAGAGCCTTGAAAAGAAGAGTACGTGTCTGACAGCAATACGAGCATTATCCTTCCTCCCCCTCGTCCTCAATCATTCTGCTACTCGTCCTCCCACTCCTTCATCGCTTCGCACTCTTCAACAACGGTTGCTCGGAATTGTTGGGAACTCTCATGCGAAAATGGCTGGACCCCCTCGCACGCGGCATCGCTTTTCCAAAACTTGCGGGGACGTCTCAGGCCAAACTGACCGGATCATCTCGCGGGCGGCATCTTCAGGCCTAGCGTAGCGACGGTACAGAGCACGGAGAACAGCACGCACTGCGAGAGTTCCATTGGAATGCCACCGGAAACATCGGGGACACATCGCAGCAGCGGCGCCATTGCTCGCCTGGACAGACCACGCCGGCGCCGCCACGCCGGGAGAGGGAAGGGGAAGGGATGGGGGGGGGAAGGGGAAGGGAGGAAGGAGGGGCAGCAGGGGCAGCAACGGCGACCATGTCAAACCTGGTCGCCTCGGAACGCAGACGTGCGACGACGTCTCCTACGAGACGGGCCGAATCACCACGGTGTGCTGCCAGTGCCTCGACGCGCGGGCACACCGGGCGGCACTCGCTCCTGCCGCAGCAGTGCTCCCTGGCACCGGCCAGGCGGCCCAGGAACACTCCAAGACAGAACCTGTCGAACGGAAACAGAACCAGACATGATCGCGTCGTACAAAAAAATCAGGGCGGCCATCGCTTCATCATTTCCGGCCCCATGGGGGCCATCGCCGGGCTCCGGGGCCGTCAATCAACGGCTCAGGATGGAAAAACCGGCCCCGGAGAAAAAGGGTCTGGACTTCCGGGGACGCCGCCCTGAAAAAATCAGGACGTCGCATGTCTGGGGAAAAAACGATATCGTAAAACAAATCTGCCTCAGCCTGAAGGGTTCTGAGAACAATGCTTGGTGGGCCCACAGGGCAGGTCAGGACGTTTCGCCACTTGTTGAAACTTCGAACCAATGCGGCCCCACCTTCGAGGCGGCCTGGGGGTCTGCACTGGTTGGGAGTTGGGACCCTAGAACATCGGTCAAGAGGAGGGGGGGAAGCCAAATCCGATAAAAAATCGGTCGCCGGACCCCTCCCGAGGTCCGTCTGGTGCAATTTTCAACCACGGGTCCGTTTTTTGTGGGGATTCTGGGGTCCGAGAACAGACCGCGGAGGCCGAACAAGGCCAACAACCTTCTCGAGCCCAGCGCCTTGTCGGGCGTTGGCACAACTGGGTTTAGTGGGGCCTGGTTTAATGATGTGTACTGGGGGACGCCCCTCCTGCCCCGTTCCACTAACCAGAACTGCCGTCACCCGAAAAAACACCAGCTTCGGAAGACCTGGTTTAGTGATTCTAGCCAATTTAGGGGCCCCAGTGCCCTACTACTAACCGGGTCCCCTTACCTACTTGCCCCCCGCTCCTGCCAGCTGGAACCAATGCTCTGGACAACCTCAGACCCCACGCCGGCTCCAAGCCCCGCCTCATCGGGAACGCACTGACCCAGGTCAATGCAAACCCGGGTCAGTCAGGCCTTGCGAGATCCTGCAGGATCCTGCGCCCTAGCCCGGGTCAGTGCACCCCTGGCTCTGCAAGATCCTGCAAGATCCGGCGCTCTGGCTGACCCCCGTTTGCATTGACCCCCGTCTCCTGAGCCCCACCTCCTCCTTCCTGCGGGACGGGAAAATGACCACAGCCACTGCTTCTTGTATGCGCCGCCTTCCAGCCGGCCGAAAAGAAGCAGTGGTTGTGGTCATATCCCTGGTGTCAAGCTTAACGGAAATTACCACAACCACTGCTTTGTTTCTGCTGGCTGGACGGCGGCAACAAAGGAAAAGCAGTGGCTGTGGTCGTTTTCACGTCCCGTACTTCCGCCCCCCCGGCCGGCTCCAGACCCCGCCCCATTCCCTTCCTGCGCCGGACGCGGCGCCAGCCAGGTGCCCACGGACGGCCTCAGGTGGAACGGCTTCCGCTCCGCCTCCCGCAGCGCGGCCTCGCGAGGCATACGGCGGCAGGATGCGGGCAATCCGTACAATAACGATGCGCGGTAAGGATGCCATGGCTTTGGACGGACACGTCGACGCTTTGGGGACGGGGCGGGGGCAGCGACAGCGGCCAGGCATGGGCCGAAGGGAAAGGGTGCAGGGGCAACCTCCTTCCTGTGCGGGTTGCCTCCAGGAGGGGGGCGGAGATTCGAGCCGCGGTTGAGGCGGGGAGGCCGCGGTCGGGAGCTCGTGCCTGGCGTGTCGCCGCGGCGGCCCGGGCGACGCGCCGGGCCCAGCGAGCGGATGGCGCGCCGCTCCGCTCCGCGGGGCGGGGGGTCCGTGTGAGCGCTCGGGGCGCCGATGCCCGGGGGGCCGGGGAAGGGGGCGGCGTGTCGCGCCGAAGCGCGGTGGTCCAGGGCGGGCTCCCGACCGCAGGCCGAGGCTGGGGGGCAGGGAGGGAGGAAGCGGAGGGAGGATGAGAGAGAGAGAGGGGGGAGGGGGGAGGAGGAGAGAGAGGCGGAACGCCTCCTCCTCTTCTTCCTCCTTCTCCTCCTCCTCTCCATCCTTCCCTTTGCAGGCCTTCAACCCCTTTCCTTGGGCATGGTATGGGGGCTCTCCGCCCGCAGCGTCTTCTCCTCCTCCCCCTCCACCCTCCTCCTCCTCCTCCTCCTCCTCCTCCTCCTCCTCCTCCTCCTCCTCCTCCTCCTCCTCCCTCCTTGTCCCTCCTCCTCCTCCTCCTCCTCATCCCCTGTCTCTCCTCCGCTCTCTTTCTCCTCCGCCCTCTTGCCGGCTCCGCTCTCTTCCCTGTCCCTTCTGTGCTCCCCGACTCCTCGAACCCTTTGCTCCATCCACTCTCTTCCCAATCCTCCCCCTCCTCCGAGTCCGCCACATCCTGGTCTCCCATCAGGCCTCCGCCCTGTCACCGTCCTCCTTCATCAGCCCGTGCCCCTGAAGCCAGACGGGTGACGCCAGACTGGAAGACAATTGAAATGACCAGTGGATACCACCCCTGTGGCCCCCAGGGGCTCCTGAGAGGCTGGCTCCGCGAGCAGATTCCAAGCGCATGGAGGAAGAAGGACAAGGGGGTGTTCGAGGGTCTGAAAGTGCACGCCACGGCCCAAGAGCTCGGCGCATAGACGCCCCAGCTTTCCAAGCCATGGAATGCTGGAGCGTCTACACACCGCCTTCCTTCGCCGCAGCGGGTGCGTCCGTGGCCGACCGAGCGACACGAGAACAGACCCCACAGAGTGGCAAGACGAAGGCGGCCTCGCGGGGGGAGAGGGCCTCAGGAACCCCAAGAAGGAGGAGGAGGACGAGGATTGAGACTGGGAGGAGGGCACGGCAACGAGGAGGAAGATACCAGAGAGGAAGATGAGGACGGTCGCCTCCCTTGCAAAAAATCAAGCTCCGCGCGCACGCATGCCGTGCACACGCCGCCCCCCACGAGGCCGCGGCCGCGAGCGGTCACGCTGCCTACCTGACCGGGCGCTCGTCCACGCTGTCGGTGCCGGGGCCGATGTTCCAACCGTAGGTCTGCTCCTGCTCAAAGCTTCGCTCGCCCGCGATGTTCGTCTCGATGTCCCAGCCCGGGAGCCCAGCCGTGGTGGGGTCGTTCGGGCCATTGGCCTCGACCTTCTTCCAGGCCCGGTTGTAGTAGTAGCCCTTCTTGGGCTTCTCCGGCTTCATCTCCGGGAAGTACAAGCCCATGGCGCTGGACATGCCCTCCACCGTGGGATTCTCCCACGCGGAGCCCGTGTCCTCTGCAGGGGCCCACATGGCCACATGGAGATCAGCTATGGACGTCCGAAGTTCACAGGTATATGTGGTTGAGGTCTGGCTGACCACAGGAGCGCCCCCCCCACTCAACCAGATCGGCCCCCGAACTGTGCCCTGGGCCCTGGGCTGGGGTGCGCTCCAGTCTGATTCCTCCGAGATGCGTCCAGCCGTGGCTGGCGAGGACGCCCGCTGGAGGCCCCAAATAATGAAAACGCTCAAGCCTCGCTCCTCCATCCTCGAACCCCGACGCCGTCTCAAATTCAGTTCAAGGACCCCTCTCGGGGTCCATCCTGGCCAGCCTTCCACCCAGGACCTGTAGTCTTGACGGGTCCCGGGGCCCGAAAGAGCCACCCTGGATGCCAAAATCTGGAAACAAAACAGAATCTGGCACGACTTCTTCGGGCCCCTCCCGCAGCCGTGATCCTCGAACGACATCGTCTGCGGGTTCCAGACCTTCGGCACGGAAGGCAGACCACTACTCATTAGGAGGGTCGGAATACAAATCGGCCCAGAGCCAATCCCCTGAGCCCTCCCGGGGGCCTCTCTCGAGGCTGCGAGAACCTCCGAAGCGGCTTCGTCTTCTGAAGGAAGGAGAGACACCATAGACAGAACCTTTTGGCGCTCCGCGCGGATTTCTTGGATCTGCGCTGGACCCCCTCCCTGGCGCGCGGAACGCGCCAGGGGCGGCGACGGAGGCGCCGCCAGGGGGGCCAAGGCGCGAATCCAAGAAATCCGCACGGATCGCCAAAAGTTTGTTTATGGAGTATCTTCTTCTTCTTCCTCGAGAGAACCTCCGAAGCGACTTAGACATCGCCGTCGTCGTAGTCGCCAAGCAAAGCCACGACACGACGTCGGAACCCAAGCATGCATGCGACGTCCTGATTTTTGTCAGGACGGCTTCACCGGAAGCCCAGACCCGTTCCCCAGGGCTGGTTTTTTATCCTGAGTTGTTTTTTGACGTTCAGTTGGCCCGGCGAGGGCCCCCAGGGGCCGAAAATAAAGAAAAACTTGCCGTTCAGATCATTTAACGACGCGATCATGTCTGGGTCTTCGTCGTCGACAGTCGCCGGCGCCAGACAAAGCCACGACGCGACGTCGGAAGAGCAGGACCTTCGCGCGGAGGGCCACCGCCGTGCGCCTCGCGGCCGTGGGCCGCGTCGCCGCCACAAAGAGCAGCGAGCGGGCGGTGGCGAGGCCGAGCGCCAGGACGGCGGCGGCCGCGAGGGTGGCACGGTGGCGGGCCATGGCTGGAGTTAAGTCGGGCGTGTCCCTCTACTGGAGGAGTGCTCTAGAATGGTTTTAAGAAAAAGACTACTTTTTTGCTTCCCCTCCCAAATCCACCTGTATGAGGACATGCCCGACCTAAGGCTGGAGGCGCTGGGCGTCCTGCGAGGCCGGAGCTTGTACAATGGAGCTGCTGCGAGAGGGAGCGCGAGAGGAGGAGCGAGGCCCCTTGCCGTCCCTTGAGAGGCGCCTGGGCGCACCCAGAGCGCTACGGGAACAGCCGTGGAAGGACGCGAGGGACAGCGAGCCCGAGCCAAAACTGCTCCTCGCTGCAGCGTCTCGACTGCACGGCAGATGCCCAGACACGATAGCGTTATAAAAAATTCAGGATGGGAGATTCTTGGCAAATTTCGGCCTCGGTGGGCCATCGCCGGGCCTCGGGACCGTGACAAAAACGATTCAGGATGAAGAACCGGCCCCAGGGAAAGGGCATGGACTTCCAGGGACGTTGTCTTAATGAAATCAGGACGTCGCATGTCTGGGTTCGTATCGTGTTGACCTAGGCATCAGTTCCTGACATCGCATTGGTCGTTGAGCCTTGAACGCTCGCGGCGTTCCGATATAGTCGACACGTGTAACAAGGATGCACGATGAGGATGCAAGGTCCTTGGGAGGCAGTTTCGAAGCTTTTCTAGCGGGGCGCGGCCACCGAAAGAGGCCAAGAAGACAAGAATGGAGCGAGGAGGCAAGGATGCAGGGGCACCCTTTGGAAAACTGCCCATCCTAACTATGCGGTTTGACTTACGGGAACGGGAAATGGCATAGAAACTCGGAGGTCAGCGCGGATTTCTCGGATCCGCGCTGGACCCCCCTCCCTGAGCGCGTCAGGGACCACAAGAAACCTTCCACAAGAACCCCCACCCTGAGACCCCAGGGCGTTCGTCGTGTTTTGGCGTGAAAACGTCTCGCTTCCCATAGAACGTCATGCAACCCCCAAAGAAGCAGGGCGCCCTGGAGGCAAGCAGGGTGTTTCTTGGCATGGCCTTCCACTGTATGGATATTCTTGGGGCCGACGAACAGAAAACTCCATACACATAAACTGCCCCTCCCTGGCGCGCGGAGCGCGCCATGGGCGGCGCCAGAGGCGCCGCCGGGGGGGGCCCAGCGCGGATCCAAAAAATCCGCGTGGGGGCCAACACATAACATATCCACGTCCGCCGCCCCCTGAACTCCCAGGACTGGACCTGTACAGGTTCTGGCCTCGGGCTCCTGGGACGGCTATGGTGGCGCGAAGGTGTGACGGCCTGGGCCGAAGTGGCGCTGCACGGGGAGGGGAAAGGAACGAATTGGAACTCGAGGGAGGAGGGTGAAACTTGGCGCATGGGAGTCGAGGGAGGAGGGGAGGGAGTCGAGGGCGTCGAAGGAGTCGAAGGAAGGGGGTGGGAGTCGAGGCAGGAGGGCGGAATTTGATGTTCTCCAGATTTGTTTGTGCGCTCTGGGGCTTGTCTGGACCTCCAGATCATTTTTTCCTGAGAAGCCGCATGGAACGGAGGCCTCCAGAGCAGCCGGGGGTCCTCCGGGGAGACCCGCTGGAGGCCTCCGAGGAAGAGCGAGACGCAGGTCGGGCATGTCCTCCCACAGGCGGATTTCGGACGAAAGTTCAGACATGGTCAAGAAATATTCAGAAATCGCCACAAGGATTTAAACAATCATCCCAGGACTATTTCTTGACTGTTTTTGCATGCTCCTCCTGTAGAAGGACACGCCCGACTTAAAGCGAGACGAAGGTGCAGGAGGGAGGGGGGAGGTCTCCTCTCTCATCTCTCTGCCCTCCTAAATTCCAGCCACCAGGCCTGCACTGGACGCTCTGTTCCCTGCCGGACAGGAACTGGAAGGGGACTCGCGCTCCGGGGTTTGCTTTGCTCTTCCCCAGTTGGGCCGCGGGGAAAGCTCCGTCGACCCAGATATTGGGCACTCGGCTCGGGACTGGCAGGTCGGCGGAAGGCAGGCTTACGAAGCGGGCGGCGAAAGCGGGTGCCTCTCGCCGTCGCTCGGACGTCCCTCCCCCGCGCGCATTCTCCGACTCCGCGAGTGTGCAGTTTCTTGGCAAGGGTGAGCCACGATGCTCCTCGATGGCCTCCGCCGAGGGTAGGGGAACGAAACATGGCATGAACATAAAAACTCGGAAACCCGCGCGGATTTCTCGCCTCCGCGTTGGGACCCGCATGGCGGCGCCTTCGGCGCCGCCTCCAGCGCGCTCCGCGCGCCAGGGAGGGGGGTCCAGCGCCGATCCGAGACACCCGCGCGGGCCTCCGAGTTTTTATGTTCATGCCATGCTTCGTCCCCCTACAGGGCAACCTGTTTGAGCCGGGCGCGCGCGGGCGGTCGTCGTCGTCGTCGTCGTTTGTTTGTCGTGTCCCGCGCGCTTTTCTCCTTTGTCCCTCTTTTTTTTCTTGCCCATTCCTTTCTCTGTTTGCTGTAGGGCAGCATGTATGCGCCCGAGCGATGCCGAGGTCTGCCTGCCACGCGTCGGACGGCGCCCACCAGCGGGGGTGGAAGGTGGCGCGGGAGCGAAGGGCGCGGGCGGCCTCGGGCGGGGGGGGGCCTTTCGGAGCAGAGGGTCCCCAAGGGAGGCCTCCTCGGGCGGGGCCCCTCTCGGCACAGCCACCCCGGCGGGGGCTTCTTCGGAGCGGGCGCGCCGTCGCCGCGCCGCCTGACTCTCCGAGCGCCCCCAGAGAGGGGGCGGCGCCGACGCCACGGCAGGCCTCGGGTCGGGCATGTCCCCCCTATACAGGCGGAGTTTGGACGACAGTTCAAAGATAGGCAAAAAGACAGCTGAAAATAGTAGAAACAGATGCGAAAACAGGGCTGGACCTGGACTTTGTTGTTCGTTTTGTGGTCGTTTTGTTGCTCGTTTTGCTCAACCTGTCTTCCTGTACCTCCCTGCCAGAACGAAACACAAGACACGGCCGAAGTCCAGCAGAACAGCGCTTAGGTCCAGCCCAGGGTGAAGCATCGTCCCCATGATCACGATTTGTTTGACCACGCTTGAAGATTCCTCCGGTCGATGGGGCACGCCCGACTTGAGGCAAGCCCGAGCGCGAGCCGGGCGCCCATCGCAGCCCCGGGAAGCAGGGCCGCCACACGGCGGGGACCCCGCGGCGAGCCCCCCGCGCCCGAGCGCTGTGCCCCGGTGGCCGGGGCGCCCTCCCCCGAGGCGCGAGGCCGCGCGTGGGAGCGAGCGGGCGCGGCGGCACGCTGCCTCCCCAGACGTGCTCGCGCCGTGCAAAAACAGTCCGGGCACGGCAGGTTCTGGCTCGTGTTCGGCCTCGGGAGGCCCCTGTCTCGGCGGTGGACAGACCTCCCTTTCGCAAACCTCCCTGCAGTGGAAACGGCCTGGGACCGAAACCGACGGACCTGGACCCGCAAAAATGATGGCCGCGACGCCCTCTCGCGAACCGAAAACGGCCAGTTCGCTGATCGACCTGTCAGGGTAGGAGGTCTATCAACCTCCGATTGTCGGGCCCCGGAACAATCAGAAAACGACTCAGGACGAAGTACACCTGCCCCGGGGAAAGGTTCTGGACTTCCGGGGGCGCCGCCCTGACAAAATCAGGGCGTCGCATGTCTGGGTCCCCGAGGACCGCCAGCCGTCGGCTGGCTTTCCTCCTCGCGCCAGAGCCCCCCCCCCCGGGGCGCTTCCGGCGGGTGCTTTTCGAACTCGGTGTGTGCCATGCACGTGCCTCGCAGGCATTCGAGCATTACTCTTGCGTGTTTGTGTGTGTGCGTGTGCGCGGGGAAGATGGATCCCCGAGACATGGGAACCTACTGACATTTTCTGAGCTTTTTAGATTCGAGCGGTACGGGTACGTAACATCCAAAGCACCACGAACTAACTGTTCAGAGTCTTATCAGGTAAGCCATGAAGTACGTGTGTAGTATCGTAGGTCGCGGCGGCGACCCTGGCGACACGCTGTGCCCCGCGAGCGGATAGCGCGTCTCTCCGCTCCGCTGGGCGGGAAGCTGGGAGAAAATCGGGACGTTAGTGCTTGGAGACTGGCACAGTCGGGCTGGATTAGAGAAGACACGCGAGAGGACACAAGACTCTTCCGGTGGCCATATCGCAAACGGAACGCAGAGGGCATGGGTCGCGAAACACAAGGCACAGAGGTACCCTTGTTTGGGCAGGGCCGGCCTACTGGTCAAACTCGACTGTATGCGGTCAGCGTGTCGCCAGAAAGGAGCGACACGCTAAACAAACGCTCCCGACCATGGGCCGGGAGGACGGGGGCAAGAGGTGGCCGCGGTGCTGCAGACGATCGGCAGCCCCCTCGCTCTCTCTACCGACATGGCAGAACAGAGGTCTCAAACCGCCCCGTCCTGGTTTGACAACGAATTCGTCCCGCGGGCTTCTGCCAACATCGCCCAGCAGCATTTTTTTTTTTCGGTGGAGGTGGCCGAACGGAAGCGACATGCGCGAGAGGCTCCTCGCATGCGGTCCAACGCCGCCTCCTCCTTTAACCCACCCCCGCAGCGACAGTTCGCCAGAGGCCATTTGCATGTGCAGCAGCACCTGGCCCTGGAGCAGGAGCCCAAGCGTCGCGAGCCAACGCTCTAGAGCCTGTGCGCAACATAGGATGTTGAGGTATCCGTGCGCTTTCGAAATTCAACTGAGCGTCGCGCGCTGCGAGCGAAAAAAAGGAACCACAATACGCGGTAGAACTGCTGTATTCGCATGTTTTGAAACATCGCCTCAGAGCACGGCAACTGGCTCTGCACTGTCACAGCTCTGTATGTCTCGAATGCATAACTGCAGACATCGCGGCCATGGAACATCGAAAAGCTAAACACACAGCAGCTGCTGCTGCCAAATCTGTGCAATCAGTAAGCACGAATGCATGCGACAAGTGAGGCTGGCGGTCTCCTCCTCCTCCACCACACCAACACACCACTTCAATCCTCCCCACGGCATCACCCGCATTCCTCTTCTGCACGAACGCACGCACGCGGGCGCGACTAAAAAATTCCCCTCTGCACATGGCTCGCCTTGCTCGCGCAACCCTGCTGGGCTGCTTGCTCGCGGGGCAGCGTCGTGGCGGCAATAGCTCGGCGCCGCCAGCTGAATGGCCTCCTCCGCGTTCCTCCTCCTCCCCCACCTCCTCCTCATTTGTCGGCATTCCGGCCCCCAAGAAGCCCCAAAAATCGCATCAAGCAGAACAACATGCTATGAGTGCCCCTGCTATGTATGTCTCAAATACACAACCGCAGGACGAGGAAGGAAGCATGTACTAGTAGCAGTGCGGACGCATGATAAAGAGTAGCAGTAAGGAAGACTGCGAAAACCAAAACACGCAGCACCTGTTGCTGCGACAATTGTGCGAGCAGCAAGGACGGATGAATGCGACAAGTGAGGCTGGTACTCTCCTCCTCCCCCCCTGCAGTCGTCTCAGTCCCCCCCCCCTCTCCTCGTCCTCCATCTGAAAAGTGGATCATGGAAATGGCGTTGCCCCAACCGCCGCCGCACATCAGAAATCAGGGCCTCGAGCGGGCGAAAGAGGGCTCCTAGGGGAGCCCCAGGATGCGAAGCAGCTTGCAGCCCTGCATCTGTCCTCGTACCTTCGTCTGACACTCTGGACGAGAACGGCTACGCTATATAATCTGTGCGCAACATCGGATGTTGAGGTATCCGTGCGCTTTCCAAAATCAACTGAGCGTCGCGCGCTGCGAGCGAAAAGAAGGAAACACAATACGCGGTAGAACTGCTGCACTGCTGCAAGCGCATGTTTTGAAACATCGCCTCAGAGCACGGCAACTGGCTCTGCACTGTCACAGCTCTGTATGTCTCGAATGCATAACTGCAGACATCGCGGCCATGGAACATCGAAAAGCTAAACACACAGCAGCTGCTGCTGCCAAAGCTGTGCAATCAGTAAGCACGAATGCATGCGACAAGTGAGGCTGGCGGTCTCCTCCTCCTCCTCCTCATCATCATCCTTCTCATCCCCCCCATGTCTCTATTCCTCCTCTCGGCATCACCCGCATGCCTCTTCTGCACGAACGCACGCACGCGGGCGCGACTAAAAAAATCCCCTCTGCACATGGCTCGCCTTGCTCGCGCAACCCTGCTGGGCTGCTTGCTCGCGGGGCAGCGTCGTGGCGGCGATGGCTCGGCGCCGCCAGCTGAATGGCCTCCTCCGCGTTCCTCCTCCACCTCCTCCTCCTCTCCTCGTACCTTCGCGGTGGCGAGGTGACCCGAAAGTCCCCCACACGTCCCCCCTTCCCCTCGTCCAGTAAAACTGTCAACCGCGCGCTCACAGGGCAGCTGGCCTTGGGGCGATGAAGGGGTGGAACTTGGGGTTCTTGATGCGGCGCAGCCGGCTCGCCGTCCACATCCTGACGCTCTCCGAGTATCCCTGCCTCGCCGCCGAGCTGACCTCGATCACAGTCCCGGTGACTCCAGCGCCGGCATCTCTGGTCAGCCGCGATTTGTTCCACAGGATGGAGAATTCGCGGGCGTCGTTCGAGGTGGCAAAATTTACGAACGCGATCCCCCTGGTGGTCCCCGTTTCGAAAGTCGTCGGCATGTAGACGTAGTTGTAGCGGCTCGCGAAACCAGACGTGTCGAAGAGGTCCAGCAGGTCAGCTTGCGTCATGGCCATGGGAATGTTCCGAATCACGAGCGTGGTGATTCTTGGAACGCCAGGGGCGGCGGGCGCTGCCTCCTCGGTAGCTGCTGGCATGCTGTCAACGAGCTCGCCCTGTTGAAACTCAAGCTCCTCCAAGAAGGCCGTCTGCTCGCGGATAGTCCGCCTGAGCTCCTGAGCCTCCTGTTGGACCTTGGCCAGCAGCTGCTCCTGCGCCAGGAGCTGGGCCTGCATGCTGGCCAGCCCCCTGCCGGCCGCGGGCGTACCACTGGAGGTCCCTGCCCGCCCTCCGCTGGCACACTGTCTCGCCCGCGCTGCGCGGCCTGGCTCGCCTCGGCGGCCTGCGGCGAGCCCCGCCTCAGTGGCAGAGAGCGGTGGCATGCCGGGCGGCCTGATCGGCGACCAGGCTGGCGCCGCCCCCGCGGCGCGATGGATCAGCGGAGCGCCCCCGCGCGGGTGGTCGAACTCGTCAAGAGTCTTCCATGACTCGCCGCCGCTCGACTGCAGAATGGGGTGGTCTTCCTGCCTGCGCGGCAGCGGCTGGCCATGGAGCCGCAGTACGCCTGCAGGCTGAGATGACAACTGCGCAGCGGCCGCCGGGGCGGCTGAATCCTGCGCGTGTTCGGATGGGTGGCTGCCTGTGGCTTCTGCCCGGCGACGCTCGCGCGGATGGTCGAACTCGTCAAGAGTCTTCCATGACTCGCCGCCGCTCGACTGCAGAATGGGGTGGTCTTCCTGCCTGCGCGGCAGCGGCTGGCCATGGAGCCGCAGTACGCCTGCAGGCTGAGATAACAACTGCGCAGCGGCCGCCGGGGCGGCTGAATCCTGCGCGTGTTCGGATGGGTGGCTGCCTGTGGCTTCTGCCCGGCGACGCTCGCGCGGATGGTCGAACTCGTCAAGAGTCTTCCATGACTCGCCGCCGCTCGACTGCAGAATGGGGTGGTCTTCCTGCCTGCGCGGCAGCGGCTGGCCATGGAGCAGCAGTACGCCTCCAGGCTGAGATGACAGCTGCACATCGGCCGCGGGGGCGGCTGAATCCTGCGCGTGTTCGGATGGGTGGCTGCCAGTGGCTTCTGCCCGCCGGCGCTCGCGCGGATGGTCGAACTCGTCAAGAGTCTTCCATGACTCGCCGCCGCTCGACTGCAGAATGGGGTGGTCTTCCTGCCTGCGCGGCAGCGGCTGGCCATGGAGCCGCAGTACGCCTCCAGGCTGAGATGAGAGCTGCACATCGGCCGCCGAGGGGGCGCTGCCAGGGCCCAACCAGGCTTCATCCTGCGTGTGTTCCGATGGGTGGTTGCCAGTGATTTCTGCCCGCAGACGCTCCGGCGGGAGGTCGAACTCGTCAAGAGTCTTCCATGACTTGCCACTGCTCGACTGCAACATGGGGTGGTCTTCCTGCCAGAGCGGCAATGACTGCGTGTTGACCGGCTGCATGGTGGGCAATGATCCGATGCTAGGCATCGGCGTACACATGTCACCTAAGATTAGGTCCAACGAATGAGGGTTCACGTAGGTATCAAAAAAATCGTCACTGTGGATGTATGGAGTCGTCAATGCGTCCATTGTGTGGAACGGCAAATTGCCGGTGTGATCCAGTAGACCTAAGCGCAAGCACAATTCAAAATTAACCCGAAGGCGCTTGAACCCCAACTTGAGCCAAAACGGCTGCGGAGGCCACCAGGACGAACTTGGCGTTTCATTCGGCGGGATTGCCATCGTCCTCGCTGGCATTGTGGATGCCATGACAATGGACACCCTGACAGTCTTATCATTGAATTAAATGTGTGTCTAAAATGTTGGAAAACGTTAGAAACATGTTTAACAATTTACAAATATTTGTTTGAGCAAAACATGTTTAAACCATGCTGGCACTGCCTTAGACATCTGGCAATTATTAGGCAACCTGATTTCTCTCCATTGATCGTCCTCCACAACACTGGCGATTGCTGGCGAAAGCTGCAGCCCCCCGGCGTTTCCGCATGGCCGAGCCGCTCGCCGCGACGGGGAGGTCCCCGAGCTGCTGACGCGAGGGCCTGCGCCGCTCGATGCGCGACCAGCTCGCAAGCGGAGGGGCGTGCGCTGGCCACGCCGCCCGCGCACGGGCCCTTCGCGGGACTTCCTGTTTCTGTTCCGCCCGCGTCCCGGGGACGCCCACAGCTGGTTGTGAACGTTTTCTTATTCGGCGTTTCGACACTGGGCGGAAGGGGGGGGGGGAGGAGAGGGGAATGGGGTCTGGCTCCGGACCTCTGCTTGGTGCCACTGCTTGCGCCAGTGCGTCCACGATGGGGGAGGCTCCACCTGCTCGAAACGAGCGCCAAAAACAGCCAAGATCTGCTCCATGGGGGGGGGAGGAGGGGGAGGAGGGGGGGAGGAGGAGGGGGGGGGGGGGAGGGAGGGGGGGGGGGAGAGGGGGGGGGAGGAGGAAGGGGGGGGGGAAGGGGGAGGGGGGGGGGGGGGGGGCGAGGGCCCGCGACGATCGGCAAAACAATGAGTAAGAAAACGACCGCAGACGCCCACAGCTGACGGGAGGGACGAGCCTCTCGGGCGGAGAGCGGGGGGCGGCCTGGCCCGCCATCGGGCACGCGCAGGCCTGCCCTCGCGCCGCAGGAGGAGAGCCGCGGCCGACCCCGCCCTTCTCGGGAGAAGTTGGTGCAGTCACGCGACACCAGCCCCCCGACTCTCGGGTCGGGCGAAAGGGGGGGATAGCAAAGGGGGGGTTTGAGAATCAGCTCGCGTAGCTGATTTTCCCGGCGCCTCCCGGCGCCGGAGGCGGCTACGTATCGAGGAATGGGCCCCTCGGTGGGGCCGAAACCAGCTGCATGGAGCAAATTTCGTAACCCCCCCTTTCCCAATCCCCCCCCTTCGTCCGGCCCGAGACTCCAGTTCCGTCTTAGTTGGCAAACCAACGTGCAGAAGTTTCTTGCCATAGACGTTCGAACGCACGCAGCTCAGGCTTCCGCGACCCGTGCGGTTCTGTCCCGCTACAAGCGGCAGCGTCTTCGGCGTCCCAGCGCATCTTGAGTGGGAAGGCAGCCGAGCAGCCGAACTTCACGACGGCGCAGACCTCGGCGAGCTCCACGACAATGTGCCTAGGCTCAGGGGGCATCTCGCGAGGGGCGCGCCAGCTGTGCTCACTGAGAACCCGCAGCCAATCACATCTTTTCTGGATGGCGCCTGCGGGCACGTGCACTCACTCGCTGAGAACATCACGCCGCTGGACCCTCCAGCTGCCCTCGAACGTGGCATCCCACCAGGGATGGAGAGATCTAGTATATGAAGCTTCGCTCGCTGCCCACGACTATGGGACTATGGCCCCCAAGCAGCCCTCGAAAGTGACGACAGCATCGCAGCTCGCACCCAACCAGGGACGGCGAGGTCTAATATGAACCTGTGCTGGGTACTAACTTCGCTGGCCACTCTCCAGCAAGCTCCGAAAGTGGCGACAGCTTCGCAGCCAAAGTCTACTCTAACTGTGCGCTCGAAACCAGGTACGCTGCCCACCCCAGCAGCCCTCGAAAGCGGCGACAGCTTCGGAGTTCGCAGAGTCTGAATCTGCGATCGGTACCCGCGACGCTGGCCTCCCAGCTGCCCTCAAGAGTGGTGACGGTTTCGCAGTTCGCAACCCACAGGGATGGCGAGTCGAATATGAATCTGCACTCGGTACCCACTACGATGGCTCCCTAGCAGCCGTCGAATAGACGACAGCATCGCAGTTCGCACCCCACCAGGGATGGCGAGGTCTACTTTAATTTTGATTATGCGCTTGGTATCGGCTTCGCTGCACCCCCAAAGCCAGCTTCGACAGTGGCGATGGTTTCGCGTTTCACACCCTACCAGGGATGGCGAGGTCTAATCTGAATGTGCGCTCGATGCTCGGTACGCTGCCCCCCAGCAGCCCTCGAAAGTGGTGACAGCGTCGCAGTTCGCAGAATCTAAATCTGCGATCAATACCCACGACGTTGGTCCCCACAGCAGACGTAAAAAGCGGCGACATCTTCGCAGTTCGCACCCTCCCAGGATGGCGAGGTCGAATTTGAATCTGCGAGCGGTACCAACTACGCTGCACCCCCCCCCCGCAGGCTTCAAAAGTGGCAACAGTTTCGCAGTCCGCAGCCCCCTAGGGATGGCAAGGACTAATCTGGATCTGCGCTCGGGACCAACTATGCTGCGATTTCCGTATCACGTTGTTGTGCTGGCCCCCCCAGTCGACCTCGAAAATGGCGACAGAGCTTCACACCTACCAGCCCACCCAGTGAGGACCTGGTAGGAGGTACAAATCAAATTTAAGGGACAGGTAGGGAGGCGGGCGAAGATGGGGAAACCAAAAGGTACCGTTACCGCTACTCCCCGGACCTCCCCCGGGGTGCGTTCTGACCAGAAGTTCGAGGCGAATCCAGCGGTTGCGACGAGAACCTCCCGGGAGGCCCAAAAAGGGGAAAAGGGGGGAAGGGTAGAGGTATGGGTACCGCTTCCTCCTCTGAAGAAAAGAAGAGAGCCGGGGAGGCGGGACGGAGGACGGAGTGAAGACCGAGATGTTCGCCTTCAGACAAGAGCCCGTTGCATCTTCGGGGGACCTAGTCTGTCCCGTCGCGCCTTCGCATCGGATCCATGTCGGATCCACGTCGAATCCATGTCGGATCCACGTCGAATCCAAAGGGACTCCGCGTCGAGTCCAAGTCGAATCCGCGTCGAATTCGCGCCGAATCCGCGCCGAATTCACACCAAACCCACGCCGAATCCGCGCCGAACCCGCGTCGTGATTCGGAAAACATGTTAGTGAAAGGACAGACGAGGACCCCCGAAGCTGCAACGCATAGATATACAAAGACGACATACACATACACTGTTGGAGGTCCGCGCGAATTTCTTGGAAATGCGCTGGAGCGACCCCCTGCTCAGACAGGGGGGTTCCAGCGCAGATCCGAAAAATCCACGTGGACCTCCGATGACCTGTTTATGCTCTTGTTTCCTCGTCAAAGCTAGAAGCCTCCTAGATGGGATCGGAAAAGATGTGGTCGGAGGATCGCGACGAATCGCCGATGCATCGCTGATGCATCGGCGATGCATCAGCGCTGCACCCGCAACGTCGGTGATGCACTGGCGACGTCGGCGTGAAGAAACTCGGGCTCCACATCGGGCCGCATCGCCGATGCATCGGCGATGCGGCGCGATCCTCCGACCCCATCCACTCCGACCCCATCTAGGAGTCCTTGAGCAGCGCAGGAGCCCAACGGGGGGTCTGGAAAAAGGACGCGCCCCTGGCCTTCCTCGCGACTGCCCCCGCGCTGCCGCCGAGCGGGAAGCTGGACGCCGGACGCGTGGCTCCTCGCGCCCAAACGTCACACGTCCCTCCGCCGCGTGCGAGCCCGTGCCCTCGCACGTGGGGCCCAGGAGGGACTCCGAGACGGGAGGAGCGAGGGCCGGGAGGGAGGACGGCCGAGAAGCACGAAGGGCAGGGTGAGGAGGAGGGAGGAGGGAGGAGCGAGGAGGGAGCGAGGAGGGAGGAGCGAGGAGGGGGAGGAGGAGGAGGAAGAGGAGGAGGAGGAGGAGGCGGAGAAGGAGGAGGAGGAGGCGGAGGAGGAGGCGGAGGAGGAGGCGAGGCCACTCGTCAGCAAGTATCACACTTGTACATGCACATATATATATATATATACATATAGATATGCATGTATATGTACATACATAGATATGCAGATTTGTACATATCTATGTCTATGTATAACCATACACAACTAGACCCACGCACACTTACATACAAACCAACCATAAGCGGTTCTACACAAGAGGTGCGTGCGCGACCAGCAAAGAATTGCGCAATGTAGAAAATTGTGTCCGCTGTCTCAGACACAGAAAACTGCAGAACGTAAAGGAAGACATATACGTGACCAGCCAACAAGGGTCATATAGCCTTGCGAAGACATTTGGGCCACGAAGTCGGGATCGATGTGAGACCTGTACGTGAATGCGAATGCCGACGGGGATGCCCGGCTCTCAGCTTACCGCGCTCTATATTTCACTTCCTCGCTTCCAAGCTTTCCAAGACGACGCCAGGGTTATCCTGCATCATGCGGCTATGCCATACGGTTTCCTTACTGCTGCGATGCAACGTGCCAGTACGAACCCTGGCTCGGCCTCGCCCAGAGCTCCTGCTCCAAGTCAGGAAGATTACCGCTGCATGGCGCCGCAAGCTTGGCAAGGCGAGCAGACGAGATGGCTGCACAGCGGCGGCAGCCGACCATCGCAGGCGCTGGTTTCGCCGGTGCTGGTTTCGCCCCGCTGGTTTCACCGACGGCTGGTTTCGCCAGCGCTAGTTTCGCCAGCGAAGGTTTCGGCCCGCTGGTTTCGCCCCGCTGGTTTTGCCGACGGCTAGTTTCGCCGGCGCTGATTTCGCCGGCGCTAGTTTCGCCCCGCTGGTTTCGCAGGCGGCGGGTTGCGCTGGCGCTGGTTTCCTTGGCGCTGGTTTCGCTGGCGCTGGTTTTGCCGACGCCGTCGTCGCAGTAGGCGTCGCCGTCGCCGCCGTCAACGTCGTTGTCGTCGTCGTCGTCGTCGTCGTCGTCGTCGTCGTCGTCGGGCGTCGGGCGTCGAGCGTCTGACGTCGGGCGTCGGGCGTCGGGCGTCGGGCGTCGGGAGTCGGGCGTCGAGGTCGTCGTCGTCGTCGTCGCTGTCGCTGTCGTCGGTCACCGTCGGATGTCGCCGCTGCCGCCGTGGTCTTCGTGGTCGTCGCCGTCAGCCAGGGCGTCTTCCGTGGCTCTTTTTGTGCACAGGCGCCGCTGGCTTCCCCGCAGCGCGACATTGAAATGTGCGGCGCGCTCGATCGAGCACGCGCGAACCCTAACGGGAGGGTCGGGTCGGGCTGGAGGACCCTAGCGGGCGGGTCGGGTCGGGCAAGGCGGGCGGACCCTGGCGGGCGGGTCGGGTCGGGCGGGCGGGACATTAAAGAGCGGGGCGCGCTCGACCGAGCACGCGCGAACCCTAACGGGCGGGTCGGGTCGGGCGGGCGGACCCTGACGGGCGGGTCAGGTCAGGCGGGCGGACCCTGACGGGCGGGTCGGGCCCGGCGGGCGGGACATTAAAGTGTGGGGCGCGCTCAACCGAACACGCGCGAACCGTAACAAGCGAATCAGGTCGGGCGGGCGGACCCTAGCAGTCGGGTCGGGTCGGGTCGGGCCGGGCGGACCCTAACGGGCGGGTCGGGTCGGGCGGCCGGGACATTAAAGTGTAGGCACGCTCGACCGAGCACGCGCGAACCCTAATGGGCGGATAGGGTCGGGCGGGCGGACCCTAGCGGGAGGGTCGGGTCGGGCTGGGCGGGCGGACCCTTACGGGCGGGTCGGGTCGGACGGGCGGGCGGGACATGAAAGTGTGGGGCGCGCTCGACCGAGCACGCGCGAACCCTAACCGGCGGGTCGGATCGGGCGGGCGGATCCTAGCGGGCGGGTCGGATCGGGCTGTTTCGCCGACGGAAGCTGGTTTCGCCGACGGCAGCTGATTTCGCCGACGGCAGCAGGTTTCGCCGACAAAAGCTGGTTTCGCCGACGGCAGCTGGTTTTCCATGCGGCGAAACCGGCCGGGTGAAACCAGCCGTCGGCGAAACCAGCGGTTGCCGACTAGGGGCACCGGATCGTCTCCTCCTCCTCCTCCTCCTCCTCCTCCTCCTCCTCCTCCTCCTCCTGGAACTTGGAGCGGATGGCAAGAGAATCGATCGGATGCTGGCTCCCCCCAGGAACCATCGCCCCCGAGGGAGGTCGAAACATCAAGTGCTGCAAACGACGTATGTATGTATATGCGTACGTGTGTATGTTTGATTGTTTGTATATACATGTGTATGCATATGTGTATGATTGCATGATTGTATGTATGTATGTATGTATGTATGTATGGATGGATGCATGCATGCGCATATGCGTGTACGTACGCACGTGTGTGTATATGTATGTTTGCATCCAGACATACATGGTTTCATGCATTCATGCATGCAGGTATGTGTGAGTGTAGGTGTGTGTGTGTGTATGCACGTAGTTGTGTGTGCCTGTGTGTATGAATGCATATATGCATGAGTACGTACGTAAGTACGTTTACATGCACGTGTACATGTGAGTATGTATGTGTGTGCGTGTACATTCATGTGCGCATGTATGTATGCATGTATGTATGTGTATATATGTATGTATGCATATATGTATGTTTGTATGTATGTATGTATGTATGTATGTATGTGTGCATGCATGTATGTATGTAAGTAAGTAAATATGTATGTATGTATGTATGTTTGTTTGTATGCATGTCTGAATATACATGTATATATGTGTGTCTGTATGAATGTGCGTATGCATGCATGTACTACGTACGCACGTATGTGTGCATGCATGGATACATGCATGTGTGCATGCATACATGTGAGTATGCATGCGTGGATGCACGTGTGTATGTATGTATGTATGTATGTATGTATGTTTGTTTGTATGTATACATGCATGCATATGTGCATGTATGTATGCTTGCTCGTATATAGGTATGTGCGTTTATATGCATGTATGTATGTGAATAAAGGTGCATGTGAGTATATGTATATATGTATATGCATGTATGTAGGGAGGCAGGTATGCATGTAGGTTTGCCTGTATGTGCGTATGCACGTTTGTCTGTATGTATGTATGTATGGATGCATGGATGGATGAACGCATGGATGTGTGTGTGTGTATGTATGTATGTATGTTTGTATGTCTGTATGTATGTATGCGTGTACGTACGTATGTATGAGTGTGTAGCTAGATATATGTGCGTATATGGATGTGTGTTTGATTCCATGCTTTACAAACAAACACGCACGAGCAAAAGGGGGTGGGGACGGGGAGTGCCGAAACGGCACAGACGACCCTGCGACGAACCCTTCTCGTCCACCTCTTCCCCCCTCCACCCTCCTGCCCCTCCCTGCTCGTTGCCCCCCTGCACCTCCCACCCCTCCCCCTCCCTCACCCTCCCTCCCTCCTCCCCCCTCCTCTTCGTCCCCCATCCTCCCCCCCTGCTCCTCGCCCCCCTGCTCCTCGCCTCCCTGCTCCTCCTCCCCCCTCCCCCCCACGCCGAACCCTTCTGGCCGACCGGCGGCCACGACGACCGCAGCGGGCCGCGGCGGCGGCCCGTGGGCAGCGAAAGCCGACGGCAGCAAGCAGCGGGGCCTTCGTCCGCGCCGCCTCCTGCGAAGGGGGCGCGGGCTGGAGGCCCCCGACCACAGCGTACTGTTGCTCGCCTCCTCCTCCTCCTCCTCC